ATATATAAGAAAAAAAATGTCATCAAACATTCTCATAAGTGAGTGTATGTATGTCATTCATGAGATGTTCGTGTTTTTTTTTCGAGATAATAAACAAAAGGGATAATGATACATTCAAATAAAACGAAAGACAGCTTTAGTGATAAAGACAACATGTTCTCCCTGTTTTCGACAAATCGCTTAAGATTATTATTATAGAGTGGGACATGAATATTTTGAATCTATAGGAAAGGAGAGAAAAATTTACGAACCTAAAAAACTGATTTTCTAGGCTTTGAAAGAAAAACTTCAAAATTTCATAATTTTTTCAAGGAAGGTCGTGGAGAGCTGGAAGTGATCTCATTTTATAGGCTATAAACTATTCACTTTCTAGTCTTTCTTTCTATTTAGTCTTAAGGGTACCCAAAAGTTACCAAGTTTTTCCTTCAAAGCCTAAAAACACCAAATTTTTCTCTCCGTTTCTGTATATTCGACATTTTTTCTGATACATCGACTGACAGAAAAAGGTCTGCTCTTCTAAATGAGATGTCTCCCAGAAAGTTTCGGTGTTATTTTCGTGGAGATATAGGCATCACTGGAAATGTCCTGAAAAACAGAGCTCTGTGTACAGTATGTATTTTTCTCACTATGCCTTTTGCGTATAGTTCCTTCAATCTAGTCACATTATGATTCCTCGAAAAATCGTCCGATCGAGCTGAACTTTTTACTACAGATGCTTTGGGCTCTATCTCAGGTTTGGCTTTTTAAGCGTTTTCGATTTCAACTTTCGGCTTGAGAAGGTTTTTAAAATAAAAAGTGTGTTTTTACACAGGCGTTTTAGTATTTGTCTAATATCTCGAGAAGGAAAGCATATTTATCGAAAAGAAAAAAATCTAACCTGAGATAGAGTCTGAAGTATCTGTGGTAAAAGTTTGAGGTCGATCAGGGCATTTTTTCGAGGGATCGTAATGTGACCAGATGAGAAATAGAGTTTTCCGTAAAGCCCATAGAAGAACCTGTCAGAAAATTCTAGGCAAAAATACTTCTATTTTCTTTTTCGATGTTCTATCTCCGGTATAAATTTCACCGATCAAACACCGGTTTTCGAGAAGGTCGATAAAGAGGGGGAGAGCATATTCTGAAGATATGGAACATTTACTTTGACATAACTGAATATATCTTCACGTATATCCGCCTGGAAAAAGATAGTTGCATTCGATTTTTTAATATATATTCGCTATAAAAATACATTTTAAGAAAAATATTCTGAAAGCGCTCGGAGTGCTCTATTACCCTGTATATTTATGTCTTGTTTACTTTTACCTGCTGAAAAATAAATTGAGTGTAATAACGGCACCCTTCATCGTCAGATTCCCAGAAATTGTAACGCGTGTGCCCTCTCAGTATTTTCTATTTTTCTGGCGTTTCTTTAAGACCCAAAGGTTAATGCTTTTTTTAGAAGATGTACCGTGAAATGCCCTACAAAACCATATCTAAACTTTAATTTTAGAGCTTCCCAAGCAAAATGGGATCTAGCTTAAGCTAGCTAAAGAGGAACAATCAGCTAGCTCAAGCTGGGTAAATGTTCCTTTTAGCTAGCTTAAGCTAGATCCTATTTCGCTTGGGTTCAATCAAGAAAAACTACGCGGATTATACAAAAGACGAGAAAAACGAAAACATTGAAAATCTGTTACTTTTTTCCACTCGAACCTTTTTCTTTTGTTATTATTTCCGTAAAAAAAGGGTTGCAAAAGTGAGAATTCAGTTCTTCTTGTACTTCTCAATGTGCTCTTTCTCGTGATCTGTATAAAAAGATAAAAATCTTTTAGTACAGATAGTGTGGAAAAGGCGAAAAAAGTAGCAAAAAAATGCAGCTTTTTGGTACTTGTCAATCGGGCACAGTTGGCATCCAGGCGGAAATTAGGTGAAAAATCGAAGGTACTAACTTAAATACAAATAGTGGAAAATGTAGCCCGTTCAAAGGGCTATCGAATGGTATATAAATGTCTATTTTGAAAATGGTTCCTACGACGAGAAATCACGGTACACACAACCGATTACGGGTATCGTTACTACATACGAAATAAAGATTCTTTGTTTACTCAATTATGGTACGCGATTTCAAAGCAGATATTTAGAACCAGCACGTCTTCAGCTATCTATTGATAACAAAATATTTCTATTTCGGCACCGAATTCAATAAGTAAGAGCGACATGTTCTCCATCATGTCCGTCCGTAGTAACAGTGCTCCACTATAGTCGGATCGCCCTCTTTAGCCCCACGCGAAAATAACATTTAAACACATCAAAATGTCCCTCAAACGCTACTCTATGTATTCTAAAATCGCGAAATCTCGCTTATTTTCCAAGGAGGTTTTATGGATTTTCTAAAATCCCTCGGTTTTTAAGGTAAACTGACCTTTTCGCACTCAAAAAACATTTTTTCCTACATGATATATATGTATTCGGAATCAACATGAAAAAGTGCAGGGATGGTATATAATTCATCTGAATTCGGTCCTTCCGTTCTGAATTCTACAGATTACTTAGATTTGGGATTCACACGAAGAACTTTCCGCTGAAAATTCAAAATTCAAGAGAGAAACCGTGGAAGGTCTGAAAAAACTGCTTCTATAGGTTATCGACGATGCTCTATCCAATGGAATGGTTTTTCAGTTTAAAAACGTTTTTCAAAGGGTTTTCCACAAATCCGGTCTCTGGAAAACCCACTGGAAAACTTTGTCGAAACTGGAAAACTATTCCATTGGAAAGAGAATCATCGAAAACCTATAGAAAGTGGTTCAGGTAATTTCAGTCCACTTATAAAGTTAATCCCCGCCTGCTCTAGCGAAAAACGCCCACTGTGTTGGGGGCACCTTCGCTGTACTCAAATTACTTTTCAGAAAATAAATGCAAGATACGGCACAAATCTACAGGACGATAGAGAATTTCAAGCGTTATCAGAATGCATAATTACTTTCATAAAAAGCAATTTCTATAGTGATGATAAATTTAAAAACAAATTGAAGAAATTTGTAACAAAATGCAGTCCGTGGGAATCTGACGATGAGGGGGCCATCATTGCACTCAATTTATATTTCAGCAAACAAATGCAAGACAAGGCATAAATATACAGGATGAGCGAGAACTCCGAGCGCTTTCAAAATATATAATTATTTTTTTTAAATGTATTTCTATAGTGAAAATATATTAAAAAAATCGAATGCAACTATTTGTTTTCAGGCGGATATAGTCTTTGCTTATTTTACAAGTGACCAAAGCATATTAAATATTCGAAAATTTTTATTATATCTGTCTTATCGGTAATGTATTTAGCTGAACAAAAGACACTTGAAGATTTTTCATTATTTGTATTCTATAGGTATTGTAAAGTAATTCTTTTCGGTAATGGGTAATAATTTGAAGAAGAAGATTATTACGATCATGTTTAAAGCTGCTGTTATCGCAATAACAGATATAGTATATTGGTTTTATATATTGTTTGGTTATTACGGCTAATTTTAATGTTGAATCAAAAAGGAAAAAATTTAAAGAACAAAAGCATTATTTATCATCGACAGAAGAAAATTTAATAAAAAAAATTTTTTGATAATGTTAAACATCTAAATAATCATCAATTATCATCAAAATACTCGTTAAAAATTCATAGTTTTTTTGATAAAAAAATTCAGGTATTTTTAATTTGAAAGAATTTTATGATTAATTATATTTTCTTTCTTTTCTCCTGAACTTGTACAACCATTTCGTATGACTTCTGAACATGACCGTATTAACATATTGAGTGGTTTAGAAGTATTATTTAGTTTCACTATAGTCGTGCGACTCGCACTCGATAACTCGGCATAATCCAGAAACTGTATGACACATGTGTAAGATAACTACGCTGAATCTGATGACAATGTTCTCGTCTGAGGAAAGAATTAAGAAAACCTGGAGAAAATCTCAATTTATAAAAACCAGAGTGTTCAAACATAATTCGTACAAAATACATTATAATCATCTAAAAGTTTTAGGATGTAATTATTGTCTATCCTATGGATAACAAATATACAAAAATATTTGATGAAATCGTATGGCTTTGCAAAAGTGTTTCTAGAAAATCTTTAGTAATTTTTCAATTATATAATCACATTTAAGGCATAAATTTAACCATATTCTAAAGATATGATGTATTTTGTATTATTATTATTTCAAGAAGATACAGATATTCGTTCTGAAATTAAAAAGCACGTCGTCTGATTAATTCGAACAACGTGTGCCTCCAATATTGAATGACATACTGGGCATTACTTGCAAACTTATTTTGGCTTGATTTATTTGCTCCATTGATATTTTGCCAACATTGAATAATACCATAAACTGATTTTGTTGTAATTCATCATAAATTGCGTTTAATGGTTTAACAACTGATTCAAAATCAACCACTGTTGTCATTGCATCTAGGAATGGTGTTGATCCACCGAATAATGCACGTATATGACTAACAACACCTTGTAATTTTTGATTAATTGATAATATTATATGTTGTTCATTTGGTAGCGCAATTAATGAATTTTTTAACTGATTTAATTGATAATTTAAATTATATAATTGTGAATTATATGTGGTTAAATCGCTTTGAAATGAATTTAAATCGTTCTTAAATGTCTGAAGTTGATTTCTAAAGAAAGACAGTTCATTTTTTTTATTCTCAACATTCTTTAATGCATTATCGACTTGTTGAAAATTAATAACACTACAAACAGGTTTTACTATATTATCAACTATTGCACCACCTACTGTATTAACTGCGTCTCCTAGTGCGTTAGTTGCTGTATTAACTGCCGATTCTATTGGTTTTAAAACTGAGTCTTGAATTGTATTCCATAGGTTACCTAGAAATCGTTTTCTCCTTCCAAATAATCCTTGACATAATTTAGCATCTTCAACTTCTTTTTCAGCATTATGTAACGCATTTTGAGCAGCTGTGACTGAACCTTCGGCTTGTCTGACAGATTGCTCAGCTCCACTTATTTGCGATCGTTTTGCTTGAATTCTTGCATTCATATCTCGAATTTGACCATCCATATGGGCTATTTCACTTTCCTTGGCTGAAATTTCGTTTATAATAGTGGTTAGTTTGTGATCAACTTTAATACGGATATTGTTACTGGCAGTTACAGAACCATCAAGATATTTAAGTAACTTTTCTACTTCGCAATGAAGATTCGATGCGAAAGATATGAGTGCACCATCATTTGTTGCTAATGAGTTTGAATCAACAGTTAATAATTTATCGAGTATATTATTTTGCAGTGTTGTGTATACACTCTGAAATGGTGGTACAAGATTTATAGTCATTTCCGCTTGATACCAAATGTCGCTCCCATGACAAATGTAACCATAAAAAAGTACTAAGACTATACACAATTTCATTTCCTAAATACAATGAAAAATAAGTTATCTAATCATTCTTCGTAATGTTGTATCTACATTTGCAAAGTGACTGTCTCAGAAACAAAATACTGTCTGTAAAAAAACGGATGTTTTTTGGAGAACGTTCGTTACAAAAGAGATCGAGACTTGTGATTCTCACCAATCGAAAGTGAAGACTTTATTACAGCGTTTCACAATGCAAGTTACTTTTAATATATTTTTCAAACAATCGGGTTTTCCTAAGGAGCTTTAGGAAACCAGGTCATGGCTCAAAAGCTTGAAAACGAATATTTTGTTATTGTTCATGGATAGATAGCCCAAGATGTTCGCTTCAAACTGAGAGTTAGGCGAAAATCTCATATTTGATCGTTTAGGCTTGATCTTAGAGCCACAGGGTCAATATCTCAGTAGATGTGGCAACGCAAGATAAACTCTATTGTATCCGCACAATGACTTGGAACTCTACAAAACTTTTCAAAGCCAATGGAAAGGACTTAGGTTTTGAAAAGGTTTTTGTAGAAATCTTCCTATCTAACAGTTCGTTGTTACGCGTTCTGGCCCGATCGGGCAAGATTGTCCGTTTCGGCAAAAGTTGATACTACTATGCACACTTTCTTATAGCGGACACAGTTTTAACCCTTTCGCGGCGGGTGTCCCATATATGGGACGATGACATTTTTCCTCTGATACCAGTATCAAATTGTAAAAGTAAACACGCCATCTCATCAATGTAGAAAGTAGAATTTTTCGAGCTAATCGACACTTTCAGGAACTGAGTGCAATCTCAGCGATGTAGTTTGTCAAAAAAAGTCGACCCGATCGTGCAAAACGATTCAAGTCTTCTAGAAAATCGTATCTTTTAAAACATTCAGAAACTGCGTAGACGACAACCAAGGAACATATTTCATCATCAGTTAATATTCATTTTCGCCCTTAAAGTATCCGACAAAAAAAACATAATTTCATAACATTTCCACTTTCATGTGTTTTATAAGAGACGAATAGCTACTTACAATCACTTACTGATAGAACAGACAACAGTCTACAAGATAACCGAAATTGTTTTGCTTAAAGGAAATATTTACTTTTTTATACTCTTTTCTTTCTAGCCAGATTGATCTTTTAAGAAAATGTAATGTTGCAAAAGCCTTTCCTTGAGAACCCCCCTAGAAATGGTGATTTTCGGTTAAAAAATCCGTTTTGAGATACACACATGAAAGATAGCCTGAAGTGTCTAATTTCAGAATCTGTATCGTTTTTGGCTACAAAAGTGGTTTTTCGGGGATTTTGAGCAAGTTTTTTAGGAGCCTCGAAAAACTAGGTCCTCAAATAATAGTTATTTCCTGGATACTAATGAAATTAAAATTTTTCTAAACACACAGATTTGTAGAACAAACTTTTCAGTCAAAAATAAGACCTTGCACACTCTGTATGGCCTTGTATCAAAAAGTTACAGGTATTTTCCTGCAAGTCCTCAAATGGAATATTTTATACAGTGTTTTCTCTATATAAAAGTTACACCTGAAGTCTTTCCTAAGATTTTTAATAGCGGTTTGTCGTAGAGAGTTTATTGTTTTTTTGTCTAAAAGAGAAAAAGAGAAAATTACGTGGACTGAAAGGTGTCGACTTTTGAATTAGATCTTAGTTTTTTGTCAACTTGAGGATCTTTCGAAAATTCGGACGGGATTTTTCGGGTTTTGGAGGTCATTGCTGGCCTGGAAAACCATCAAAGGCTTAATTGAAAAATCGCCGCCGGTCAATCCATGTAATTAGGTGTCTAGTTTAAAATAAAACAAACTCGAACTCTCCAACTTGAAGTGTATTAAAAAATGTTGGAAAAGACTTCAGGGTCCTTTTTGTGCCTTGATCTCTGAAAAACTCCTAAACCGTAAGACTTGGATTCCCGTAACTCACTAAACCTAACATTTATGGAAACTTTCATCAGGATCGATGTACGGTGTCGGAGATAATTTCTGAGAGGGGCGCTCTTATATAATTCACAATTTACTCAAAAAACATCAGGGCCAGTTAAAAACTCCAGAATATAGACTAGTTATATTATTCTACATTCTACTGATGGTGAATTTACAAAATCCTACAATTTTTTTTTCGAAAAAGACGTCTAGAAAACATTTCGACAAAAGTCCGGTTTTTGAATTTCTTCTATCATTTAATCATTATCAGTACACAAAATTAATTCTATTCTGAAGTTTTCGATTACATTTGGTCCATGAGATTTCGAGATAAAGAAAAATGTAAACACTCTTAGTTGATGTTTTAAAGATATGATGTATTTTTTCAAAGATCTACTAGAAACCCTAGATTCAAACAGGAATTTGAAAGTCATTTTGTTACCAAAAGACGCTCTTGGGTTTCCTCTGTCGAATGGGCGAAAGCGTAACTCTCTGTTTGTCTCGCTTGCAAGCTATTCAAAAAGTTCCTGTTGATCTCATGTTCTGGAAACGATAATATTTATAAAAAAGCCCATATGATGAAAGATAACCGCACAGATAACCGCAACGGTCAACTCATTGTTCAAAAATATCAAGTTAAATAAAATATTAGATTTCGGCCCTTAAGATTTACGAAACAAAAAAAACAAAACATGGGCATTTTTGTAGTTATTAAAAAATTCTATCAACTGACCATATCTAAAACTCATCATAATCATACGCGGTTGAAAGAGAGTGCTTTTTCTTTTATCAATTGCGCTAAAAATGATCATTTTTCAAACTGAGTGTTTTAGACATTATAAGAAATTCTTGACAACTCAGCTAAAACCCAACATTTTGAGGTTGTATTTATTTTACTGTACAGCAAAATAGCTCTTCTTTCCAAACAGAAAAAGTCTAATATTTTTGATTCCTTTTTGTGCTAATGAGAAGAAGTCAAATTTTCCCTTTTTCGATGAATTTTAATAAAATCGCTTTTTGTGTCAGAAAAACACATTTAAAGCGAATGTACGATACACGAAAAGAAAGATGACACTTCAGACCACAAAAACATACATTTGAATTCCACTTTTATACATGACAACGTCTTTAAAATAGTTTTTTCGTTGTGCTTTGAGTTAGAAAGTAATGAAGATTGAATTTTTCAGTATTATATTTATATTCCTTTATTTTTACTGTACGAAAAAAGTTTTCAGTATATTTAGTTTTATTTATTAGTTTTGGAGAGAATAAAACGGCGACCCTTTAAAAAAGAAGAAATAACTCTGTATCCGTAAGGGCCCTCCCTCAAAATGAAGCCTTTTTGTATCAAAAAATCAGTTTGAAAACAGGCACATGGAACGATAGCCTAGAGTGTCTACTTTCAGAATCTGTATCGCTTTTGGGCCTCGTGTGTCGTGTTTTTCGAGCAAGTTTTCTGAAAGCCCTGAAAACCAGGGCTTTGAAATGAAAACCAAGACTTTGGAATGAGAACCAGGACAGGATGACAAAATAAGACGTTGCACAAGTCTGTGTCATCTTGCGTTCAAAAATTACAAGCATTTTCCTACAAGTCCTAAAATAAACCAACGAACGCACAGCGTTTTCTCTCAAAATACGTTTTCTGTTCGAACATCCCCAGTGCTGGGCACTCTTTTTAAATATACTTCAAGCTAGAGATCTAGGATTGGCTTTATTTTAAACTAGACACATAACTACGTGGGCTGATGGGACCGGACTTTTGGATTAGGCCTTAGTTTTCTACAAAATCAAGGATCTCTGGAAAATCCAAATGGATTTTTTGGGGTTTTGAGGATCATTGATCTCTAGAAACCCAACGAAGAACTAAATCAAAAATCTAGTTCCATCAGCCCACGCAGTTATGTGTCTAGTTTAAAATAAAACGAGCCCGAGATCTAGCTTGAAGTATATTTAAAAGAAGTACCCCGCAGTGGAGGGTGGATTTTTGACCTTGAACTCTGGAAAATCCCGTCTATATTTGTTTCTATAATAGTAAAAAAGTAAAAGATCATCTTGTAAATAGTAAAACATTTTTATCTCAAAATGTTTTTTGTTCAAAATATTTTCAATTTTTCGTGAAAACTTTTTTTATACAAAGTTTGATCATGATAGACAGAATGTTTCTGAAATATTCTATAGTATAAATTTCTTAAAACATAGAATGTTGGTTATTATATATACATGTCGTATTGACATTGCCATATTTATCGAAGTTACAACTCTTATAAATATACTTCGGCGAACTTACCACTCAGATTTATATAAATTCGAGAAACATAAATCATGAAAAGAAAACGGTCTTAGTGTCTAGTTTAAAATAATACGAATCTGAACTCTCTAGCTTGAAGTATATGAAAAAGTCTTAGGAAAAACTTCAAAAAACGTTTTGGACCTCGATTTCTAGAAAACTTCTAAATGGCATGACTAGAAGACAAAAAAATTTAATTTTCATAACTCATTCTACCTAACATTTATGGAAAGTTTCATCAAAATCGGATGTACGGTGTTTGAGATAATTTTTGAGGGGAAGGACCTTTAAAAATTCGTACGACTGTTTATAAACACGAATCCCGAAGTTCCCCAAATAAATAAGTCTGTTACTGTGTCTTCTTTTCAATTATTTAAATCTTTATTTATTATTAGTGTTGGTAATGATGTTAGTTAAATAAACACCTGAACAAAACAACTTTGATAATACACCTTATCGAAGTTATAAACTAGACGAAATATATTTATAGACGTTGTAACTTCGATAAACATGCTAACTTCTATACGACATATAACGAGCGGGTCAGATTAAACCGGCCACTTTTCTTTCAGGCATGAAAAATCGTTTTAAAACTCAGTTTTGAGCTCATACAATAGAGAATTCATGGCTCTACAAAACTGTAGACTTTGTTTTCAAATAAATTTTTCTTGTCGGCGCAAAATTTATAAGACTGACACCTAATCAATCGTTCAACTACGATGGTCAGAAAACGAAAACATATAATAAAAAATGTTTAATGACGATTCCGCTGAAATTTCAAATATACAGCAGCGTTCTCG